TAATTGGAAGGTGGGCGCCAGCGATAAATATTCCCCCAAAGCAATTGAAGCTTCCTGTACAGTGTGATTAGTTGTTGCAGACGAAGCAGAGTGTTACATCAACTTCTTGCGGACTCCCATTTTCTAATCACCCGACAAATGGGATTCGAACAAGCCCTCTAACCTATCCACCTTTTTAACATAGCCTTAATCATCACTCTCACTAAATTAAAGCCTTAATCCCCGAAACTAGAACTAACTTGAATCTTCCCCCATTATTATATCTTCGCTAAGATTATATGCCCTCATTTCTTTCTCCCTCTACCTGCCTTCCTCTTTTGCTTCTCCCGCACTGAGCCATAAACCTCCTCGGAATGTCATCAGTACTTCTAAATTTACTTTTGCTCTTTACATCTGTTTGTTTTTTATAAATCATTTTTAAAATTGAGATATTGCACTTCTTTCTAAAATTTATTGAAGGGTAGTTTTAAAATTGTACATCAACTATTATAAAAAAAAAATAAGGGAAAGTAGCTTATATAAAAGAATCAAAAAATAAAAAGTTTCTAAAATGTATGCGAGTAATAAAAAGAACCAAAGAGAACCTCTGTGTAGCTTGCACGTTTTAATTATTTGGGAGAAGCAGTCATATTGTTATAGTCCGCGTAGAATTGTAGCATTTTGCACCGTCCTAATAAATTACTCGGCTAGACAGCCTCTCGACCGCAGATGACACCATGGATCGATCACTTCGAGAAGAAATGACATTAAAACTGAAAAACAAAAACCAAATTATGTCTCCCTTTCTGAAAGATGCATCATATCCATTGTTTTTAAAGAAGCAATATTAACAAACTACTAATTTCCTGCGGATTACACTAAAAGAATGCCGCGTGATTATCATGTCATGAGCTACGTGTTTTATTATACATACTTTTGTCAGGCAAATGTACTTATATACTGCCTATATACTCTTGATTAAAAATTAACTGAATCTATCTTTTTAATAAAGTGATTATTTATCTTTAAACTAACATCATTTTTTATATTTATCTTTATTTAACAAAATGTTTTAGCTTAAAATAAAAACAAAGCAATTTATTTACTAGAGGTATTTTTAAAAAAATAATGATTATATTTTAAAATACTAAAAATATCTTATATTTTTTAAGGGAGAGAGTATATATATAAAAACTGAATACTGAAGAACGATAGAAATATTTGCCTGCATATACCTACATACGTAGATATATATATATATATATATATATAGATTAATCTACGAAACAATAAATTAATAAGCATGCTGGTTCAAGTTTTAGCCTCCATTTGCAGTCTTATCCGGAAAGGAAGAAACAAAATGCTTTTTAAAATGAATGACATTTTGTTTTAGAAAAAGCATTGAGGAATCAGAGAGATCGTCGATAATACCATTCGTTTCTCTCACTTAAACCAGTTATAAAATTTCATTGGAGAACAAATAATCATAGGGCATGGTCCCTCGAAGCCTGGTAGTGATAATAATTTTTAAGATGCGTCCGACTTATTTAATATCACACCGAGATCTGCAATGATCGGTCTCCTGTAAATTCCCTCCTTAATTATATGCTCCCTCCAATTCTATATTCATAAAACATCTTTTAAAAGTAATTTTTAATTTAAAATATATGACACTTTGTAATGATTAATTATTTTTTAAAATTTTACCCTTTCTTAATTAGTGTGAAGGTATTTAATATAGTTATATTATTATTTAAAGTCAATGATAAAAATAAAAATAGATTTTACTTTTTTATTATATAAAGAAAAATTAACTTTTTTAAATATGAGTAAAACAGTTGAAAGTGTCCTGTAATAAAAATCAAGGAAATAGTATCTTATATCTATCTAAGCTAAAAATATTAGACAATATACGGGAAAAGAGAAGAGTGCCAATTCAAGTTAGAAAAGCTAAACTATTATATTATGCGTTTACGATAGATTGATAGATAACAAAGTATACAAACAAACAAGCATTTGACTAATTAAATCATTTATTGTTATTAAATATCTTTTAATTAATATTAACCGCAATCTTTCAAACAATTACAATGGTTTCCATGTTTGCTTGCCGCATTATTTATTTCGATATGGTAAATGTAAGTAGACTTGATTTAACATATAGAAAGTGCAAGAAGTTCCATATCACACAATATCAGGCTGTCAAAAAGGCATCTAAGTGAAAGTACCCATAAATTCATATACATTGAGATTTTTTATCGAAGTGTGGTGTTCAAATGATCTGGTCATGAAATGAGGTAATTAATTTAATTTAATTGAAATTTTCTTCTTTTATTCATAGAAGAGCTTTGCAGGAATTGTAATATTGATAAATGAAATAAGGAAAATCAAGAAATTGCAATTATTACTTGTTCATGGTTTTGAACGATAGGAGCTCAGCTGCTTCATGCTGCAATGTCCGCTCTTGCTAGGCTTGGTCTCTCAACGATATTTACTATTTAAAAATATTAAAATTGTTTGTTTCTTACTTTTGCTGTGGAACATTAATGTAGTGTATTATTTAAAAAGCACTAAGTCACATTCTTAACATTTTTCTTTGGAAAACATTCAATTATGAATATATTGATTACATGATGCATCAAATGAATATAAGCTTATATAAATACTTTTAAGGACTTACTTTATAACATCTTTTTGAAGGACATATATAATCCTATATTGATCCTTTCTCGTTACCCCATTTTTTCAGCCAAATACATAAAGTCAATATATATATATATATATATATTTATATGGTGAATAGAAAAAAAAAACAATCAAAAGGCAAAGAAAAAAATGAGAAGAGTAAAATAAAAATAGAATAAAAATAGGTATTCAAATCAATGCAAGCCATACTGTTCATGTAGCTCATCATGAATAATAAACCATAGGAGCTCGACTGCTTCATGCCACAATGTCCGCTCTTGTTAGGCATGGTCTCTCAAAATTTGGGGCATGTTAAAATAACAATCATACATTCAAATAACTATTTTTCTGACCCAATAGCTCTAAGTCTTAAATGTTATATTACCTTCACGAGTCAATGTTTACTTAGTGTAAAATGTCTCTTTTTAAATAAACCGAGCCCAATCTTAATGATGATTTATTAGACTTGACGTTTTTCTCTTTTGTACTTTTGGATTATAATCATACGTAGCTTTATTTTAAGCCCAAACATTGTTATTATTATTCCCTCATGTTTAGGACAAATGGTGAATAAGATATCTAAATCTGAATAGCCGCAGCTTTTATTAAATGCGAAGAATGTAGGTCGGTACACTCCATGATGATCATATGGTATTTTAAGAACTTCACTTTCAAGGTCACAGGTTTAAATGAGATCGCGCCGTTTCATTGGCTTGTGCAAGATCACGAAAATGTTAGTTTCCTTCAAATTTGTGGGTGAAAAAGAAAGCGTCATTTGGATTTTGCTAATAATAATATTTGATTAATTATAAAATATGAAGATGGATGTTATACGACTACTACAAATGATAGCCTTTTATCCTCGAGGACCACGCTATCTCCGGGATGGTCCAATTCCTATGGACTGTGATGGTGAAAATTTTCATACAATTTAATTATGACTTTTAAATTTTAATTAGTGGATGCCATACGCACATTCTGTAGATTTCCCATCAGTAATTAAATTAGCGGGAAAATAACAACAGATAATAGTATAAAGTTGGGAATTAATGCTAAAGCTAATTGTAAATGGAAAATTGATGACTAAAGCCGTCCTAATTAGGGGCCACAAAATTAAGTTCAGTGTTTCACATGGATGCTTGAAAAACCGTCCTCATTGTTAATTCTCACATGATTTAATCCATCCATATTCCCGTCACTTTATCAAAATTATGTTATCTGGTATGATCGAATATGAGCCATTCATACATGCATATATAGTTATATGATATAATACACACAACCTTGAATTCTGAAATAATCTTCTGAGAAAAACGCCATAAAAAAAATAATAATCACAAGGTTTTTATTAAGAAAAGAAAAGATACAAGCACCGAACAGTTATAAAACAGAAATGAATGTACAGCAGGATACTCAACTTTTATATATCAAGAAATTAATTAAGCACTGTATTGCGCCCGGGCTGCTCAGCAACTGCGGCTTTTAATTCCTAGTTTTTATTGCTCCTACTTTCTTTTATGTCATCAGCTTCATCGCTTTAATTGATTGGGCATTGGCGGCATGGGCTCGGATCAATCAAATACAGTACAGTAACACTATGACACATTCACTAATCTTGCAACTTATACATAGATACATACATATATATATTCATTACATATTTTCAATCCACAAAAATAATGAGCGTGGATCTCCATTTGATTTAATAATGATTATAACTTTCTTTCTTCCGTTTTTTTTTTTTTGCCATCATCAACTACTCTAACTCGAAACAAGTTAATTGTTATGAATTGCACTCAACACATTAATTAAATTTAATTTAAAACCCACCTTCACAATGTTCCAAAAATAAAAATTCAACTGGTTGCATGCGAAGAAAACTAGTGCTTGCCGAACCTATTTGTTTGCTTCATAAGATATATTTATAGACAGAAAAGAAGCAGAGTGTTGAGCTCTAAATATTCCTTCTGTTTTTTTTTTTTTTTTTGAAAAAAAAAATCTAAATCAGCTGAGGAGAGACCTGAGAATCGCAACCTCAACCGTCAACAGCACGAAACGCTAACCGAGGCACTGAGTTGGGTGGGGAGGCACGCGCACACAACAAAGGCGGGAAAGTCAAACTGTCAAAAGCGTCAAACTTCTTAACCTCTTTTACTTACAAAAAGAGTACACTGCTGCTATATTTATTTACATCTAATATGATATTTTAATTTTTAATTACCCCTCCCCCGCAAACGCTTATATTACTGAACTCTTTAATTAAATCATTAATTTCCCTCCCTTCCGTGTCCCCCATCGTATCTCTATAAAAGCCCTTCCCTCCCCTATCCTCATCTGTAAGCCTCTCTCTCTTCTCTCATCTCTCTCCCCTTTTCTCCTCCTCAGACTAAAGGCAGGAGCAAAAGCGCAACAGCCACCCACCCAGTTCAAATTCCAACTTGGAAATCAATTTGATTGAGCCCCTCGTGAGTTTCTGGGTTCCTTGATCCTTTCAGCAATGGATGTAAAAGTAAGAGGAAGCACCTCCGCCGCTTTCCAACCGGACTTCGCCGACGACCACGACCTCCGACGAGGCCCTTGGACCGTCGACGAGGACCTCACCCTCATTAATTACATTACCACTCACGGCGAAGGTCGCTGGAACTCCCTTGCCCGCTCCGCCGGTAAAACTTCTAATCGTGTCCTTTAATTTTATATGTCTTGTCAACAATCTGCCCGCCTCTGATTTTCTCCGGTTCTCCTGCTTTTCATTTAATAATAGATTGTCGCGTTCAATCTCCACTCGTGTTCTTTTCCCCACACAACCAATCAATCTTTTCTGGGGACAGAACTATCAAGGATCAAATCGGGTTCTAAAAGCCAAAGTTTTCGGGGGGGTTTGGATATAATAGTGAGTTATACGCTTCCTGGGATTAAAAGATATGTACACTTGCGTGGTGCTACGCACGCACGCACACACATAACTTATGTGGATCAGGATGACATATAGGTTAGTGAGAGATGATAATTGTGTAGACGCAGCCCACTTATTGAAAAGGGAATGATAGTTATGATATACTCTACCACTATTGAAATCAGACGTGTGTGGGGGAAAAAGAAAGTCCTCTCTTTGGAGTATAAAGCCAATAATGCTCTTTCTTTTCCTGTTATTCTATCTCATAGAACTTTACCAATCTGAGCAATCTCCTTTCGGTGCTGCAGGCCTCAAGCGTACTGGGAAGAGTTGCAGATTGAGGTGGCTCAATTATCTCCGTCCCGATGTTCGGCGTGGAAATATCACGCTGGAAGAACAGCTTCTGATTCTCGAACTTCATTCTCGCTGGGGAAACAGGTATTTGTGAGCCCAAATGTATACATACAGTACATACATATATTTGCATGCATTCAACGACATCAAGATACATATCTTTTTTTTTTTTTTTTGGTTCTCTTAATCAGTTATCATCTAAAATATTTAATTGATGAAAATTGTTTACACCGATTTGATCAGGTGGTCCAAGATAGCCCAGTATTTGCCGGGGAGAACCGACAATGAGATCAAGAATTACTGGAGAACCCGCGTCCAAAAGCATGCCAAGCAACTCAAATGTGACGTGAATAGTAAGCAATTCAAGGACACCATGCGCTACCTTTGGATGCCCAGGTTGGTTGAGCGCATTCAAGCAGCAGCCACGGCGGCTTCCACCGCCTCCACAACGGCTAGTTCTCAGACGTTATCTGCCGCCACGACCGTCACCACAAACTCCACGTACAATCATTATAATAACAAGATGGAAGTTGAGAATGGGAACATGATGATGAACCCGGCCATCATGAATAATAATGAATTTGGAGGTTCGCAGGTGACGCAGAGCTACACGCCGGAAAATAGCAGCACGGGCGCTTCATCGGAGTCGTTCGGGACACAGGTTTCACCGGTGTCAGAATTGACTGATTATTACAGTACTGTCCCTAATAGTCAGGATTACTACCAACCCTCTCAGATCAGCTACTCTGATTGCATTACCAGCCCATCTGGGTTATACAGTCAGGGACTGGATTATTCCCAGGTGATGGAGGCGGGCAACCCGTGGATTCAGGGAGGGGACACGTTGGACAGTCTGTGGAATGTTGAGAATATGATGTTTTTGCAGCAGCAGCTCAATATCGACACCATGTAAAAACTCGCAGTTATAGGAGATCTTCAGATCAGGGCCGGGGTAAAATTTAAACACCGATGATTATTTAGGTCGGGGAGGCAAATTAAAATCATGAAACGGAATAAAATCATGTGTGGGATACATATAGTTTAATTTTGTGGTCAACATATTACATATAGGTTTGATAGCTGATAGCAACTGTGAATTAATTTTCAGTTTTAGCTCGATCGGCGTTTAATTTTCCTTGTTCAGGTGGGGTGGGACACATTTGTAATTCGAGATTTCATTCATTGAAATTATCTAACTCCGTTCTGTGTTCGGTTTTTGATGATTTGATTGTTTTTCATTTTTGTGTGTGCGTGTGCGTTTGTTTTTTAAATTCCTCGGACATAGCCTATGAGCGCACGAGAGATGCATGATCGTACAGGTATGATTTCGAAGGAATAATAATATATAAAAGAGTGTGCATAATTGGTTCCACCAGGCCGGTTACTATTAAAACTGATATTGTATAATAGATGGGAGTGCTGCTTTTTGGAATCTCGTTCACGGGACATGAACCAAGGGTGAACAGAGACCCAAGGGCTTCTAGATTGTCAATTAAAAAGTAATTAAGGCAAGAATACATTTGTAGACGTGGTGTCACTTGATTGGGGGCTGGAGGGTTTGCCCCGGTGTTCAAGTTGGCCATTAATGGCAACATTTTTCAAAAGTGAAAAGATAAATGAATATTAATTAGTACGTCGTATTATTATATATTAAAGGTTAATAATGATGGAGGAAAGCTTTGTCACCAAGGTACGATTGCAAGAACCCTAATTTCGGTCACGCTTTGTTGGACATAGTACGGACAAACAAATTTGATGGGAAATCCAAAATTACCTACTTTTGATCTCATCCGCTAGCTGATATGCATAGAAAGAAGAATGAGGTGGACCAAAATGGGACACATAATTTATGCCAAAAGGGGTGAAAAGGTAATTTTCAGTTCGGGGAGGTGCACGTGCCAGGCGAGAGGGAGAGGGAGAGGGGAGGAGCAACACGTGATAGAATAGTTTAGAGAGAGAGAGAGAGAGATAGAGGGTATGGCGGCGGGGGAATCAGGCAGTAGGGCGCGTGCCTATAAGAGAAGGGGACGGGAATCATGGAAATGGTCCAGGAGCGTGAAGTGTTACAAGGATGCCACGTGGAAGTGATGAACGAATTTTTTATAGAGAGAGAGAGGGAGGGAGGGAGAGGAGGGTGGAAAATGAAATGAGATGAGGGGGGGAGGCTTTCTGGACCGAAGCACTCACGGCCGCAACCGTTGAAACTGCCTTTCTCTTCATGAGTCCACCACCTCCGTGCCCCCTGTCCGTGTTTTCCTTTCCTTCCTTCTCTTTCACATTCCCTCTTGAAGACACTTTCTCTCAATATAATACATCTTCGTGATCAACAAAATTAATACTCTTCCAATCTCAAATATAGGGCACTCTATCTTTGATTACCCTCATGTAAAATTTTAAAAAAAAAATTAATACGGTTAAAATTCATTAAATTTGTTGCAAATCGATGCTATTTTTTTCAGAAATATACACGGAAGAGTAGTTACTGTGGGGGACACTATATTGAAAGGGAAATTCAATAGTACTCCATGTATTGTGAAATAGGTGGCTTAATATATATGTGTATGTGTGAAATCATCATCTCAATCTTTTCTCTCTCACACCTTGTGTAGGAGATTTTCTTTTTCGCAATGACTGAAAAATAAATTGACTTGTTTACGCGTGCATGTTCTGTCTCTGGCCCTCCTTGTAAGGTGTTGAGTTGAACTTCAAAATAATCAAATTAATTAGGCAGACTTTATTTGTTCATATACACAGAAATCAAGTTCACTCCTTGTATTTGCAAATTTAATTTGAATATCGCCGGCTCCGAAAGGATACATGTATACATAAGAACGGGTGGAAGGAAGCAGAAAAAATTACAGGATGGCGATGATATGGATTGTTCAAGAGAGGCCTACATGTATGTATGTATTTATGTATGTATGAGATAGTAAGAAGATGTATAACCGGACTCCACGACAACGTGGCGGCAGACTTTCGCATGGCCGAGCCATTTTTGGTGGAGATATGGAAGATAAGTTTTTCAATGCATTACAGATATCATATATGTTATGTAGTTATATAGGTAAACAAGTGCTGAGAACACAACATGATCCTCCTTTTAAAAAAAAATAAATAAATAAAGGAAAGGAAAGTGAATGTGTTTAGCTTTTTATAGTTTTGTGAGAATGAACGAGAGCCGCTTCAATCGTGATAACTGTAATAATAGAAAATAGTACAGTGTTGGGTCCTTTTTTTCCCAAGCAAGTGCAGTGTTAATAATTAAGATACACTTGCATGCAAATAATTTTATTTACAATTGCGTACTAAAATGAAAGTATATATTTGAGAACATTTTGAAGGGATGGACGAGAGGAGTGAGAAAGCCAGATGGGAATTCCAAGTGGCATGGTTGGGATGGGACCACCCGCCTTTGTGGGCTGGTGTTGTTGCGTAGTATCATCTAATTCCCGTTCGAAAGCTCCTTCGCCCCCTGTTTCAAAACTTAAATTCTACTTTTAGCTTTTTTCAAAAATAACAAAAAAATTTGATTGGGCTTTGGGAAAATGGAAATTGTAAACCTCAACAAGGGCATTGATGACAATTAAAAAACTCAAATTATTAAAATGTTATGAAAGGATCGGATCATGGTCTTTATTTACAATTAAAAATTAAATAATTATTAAAATAATTAATGGACACTCATGAATTTGATGATCATTGGTCATGAATTGTAGGTAATGTCAATTGTGAGTAAATTAAAAATTAATTGCAAATGAATAGATAAACTCATGAATTTATGTATTGCTGCTTGTGATTTTTTTTAGAAGGTCAATTGTAAATTTAGATAAGGCCAATTGTGACTGAATATATGGTCCAATAAATTTATACACCGTCACTCGCAATTTACAGATAGTTAATCATGTTATAAATTTATAAAAGGTTACTTGTGAATAGATGCGTCGTTACTTGTAAATTATTTAAGAATAATTACTTGTAGACCAGTGAATAATCTTGATTGCAAATCTATGAACACTCTTCTATCTTTGAATATCTGTTCATAGTTGACTTTATATAAATTTAGAAATATTTTTTTTTTAAATTTCACTAGTGACTATAGTTCAATTTATAAGACTATTATCTATATATCTATATTCATTACCATGATAGAGTTTTGTAAATAACATTATAAAGAGTATTTTTTAAAAAAAATATAATTAAGAATATTAAGATGAATTATATTCTAAGTGCTTATAGCTTGTCAACGATGGACAGGTCTCAATGCTTGAAAAATACTTGTGGATTATGATTATCTGCTCGCAATAGGTTGGACCACTCTACGGATCGAACGATATTCATCAACTCAATTTTAATTGTTTTTTGGATTTGCGCTTGTATGTGGTTTTCAGACATGATCTGTTACTCACTCTTAATATAAGATAAAGTACGAAATTTTTTTAATTTTAAATATAAGACAAAGTTAGAATGATTAACGTTTTTTTTTAATTTTACCCATTATTTATTTATTGTTATTTGAATAAGAAAATGGTAAAATTGGAATGTTACAATTTTTAAATTTCTTTACATTTTCAAGATGGACAACTAACATTTTTTAATTAGTATGAAGTTTGTTAATTTTGTCTTATATCAAGGACAGGACATTCTTTTCTTAATTTCTCATCAATCCCTTGTCAACTCTTCTGAATCGGAATCGACAATCAAATCAAATGAATTAAAGAAATGAAATCAATGGTTGTAACGAAGTGAAGCATAGAGTTTTGAAAAGCCCACACCTTATAATGCGCCTGCGTGTACAAATGCAGGGAATATGTTTCCAAGCCGTAACAATTAACAAACGAAGCGTTCTCCCACTCCTAACACATGCTTCGTTCGCATTTCTTCATATTTAATATATTTATGGTTCAATCTTATCCCTTCACTGCTCTTCACTTTGATGCAAACTCTACTTTTGTTGCCAGTTAAGGGTTTGCGTTTCTGCTATGCAACTCTTACTTTCTCCTATTATCATTCTCTCCGATCATTAATTATTATTTTGAAATTAAACCACGCCGGCCCTTTCACCATTTCACAACCAATTTGTGATTCCTGGATAAACACAAGTCTCTGTCTCTAATTCCCAACCTTAGCATCTTGTTTCCCAAATAGTTAATATCTATCACAATTTCTATTGTTTTCTAACGAACAAATTAACCAATCTATGTTCTACTGCATTGCGTCAGCACTTCAAACCTAATAATGGATACGGTCAAGCATACAGGTCCAGCTTATCTGGAAGTTGATGACTGTAACACACCAAAATTTTTTTTTTTTAAATAATTTAACTCAACTATAGTTGGGTTACAGCCACCCATCACATTTTTATATCAATAACTTCAATTATAAAATATTTTATAATTGGCTTCAACTCATACACTATAACATTTCAGATAAATTTTTACCTCCCACATGCCATTAGGCTAAATTACATTTGTCCATCCTTATACTCCCAACAAGTAAACTAAATCACATTTGTCCATCCTTATACTCCCAACAAGTAAAATAAGCAATTTAGTCATTTTTCAACATAAACCAGTTATTTGGCCTTATAATCATGCCATTTTAACCAATCCAAAGTAAACCAAATATTAAAAGTACAGTCATCCAAATTGTACCACAAATAGAAATAGTTTGAAAAGCATGATTACATTTATATATTCATATAATTGACAATAAACAAAAAGCCCTAATATTGACAATATAACACATTATAAATCATAAATTAAATACCCAAAAGAGACAGTGAATTTATACCACTAAGCCTCTGGAACTCCTCCACGTGTCACTCATGGCTCTTCTCCTGAAAATTGTTAACCACATAATGAGACTCAAAAGTTCCAGTAACCAAAGCCAATTTATGATAGTGTATACAAACAGTTAAGTGTGTGCTTACTAAGTGAGAATTAAAAATAATATAATACCAATAAATATATGAAATATTACAATACACACAAACAACCATCCTTATATCCCTCCATTAACCTCGAGCCGTAGCCCTCACTCGGTGCTAAATTACCCGGCCAAAGGTAAATTAGCCCGAGCCCTTACAAGCCACCTATTGAGCTCCAATAGGGGCGTATCACGTGGCACATAAATACAACAACAATGACAGGTCTCCCGACACCTCCCACAATAATTAAACAAATTCATAATAATATTGCACAATTATACAATATTACAAAATTCA